AGAGAGAGAGAGAGAGAGAGAGAGAGAGAGAGAGAGAGATTTGCCCTGGCAGAGCAACATCTAGTCGCGGTAAACCGTGTGAGAGGTGAATAACGCGCTCCTAATCCAGTCCGTTCGATTTTCAACCCCTACTTCGTTCCTTCGACGTGAAATATCTACCATCTTCCCGAGCCGCCGCCACCAACGGGAGTCCTAGCCCCGGTAGAGTGATAGTGCGGAGACTCGGGACCACTGCCGACTGCACCGAGATGACGGACGGTGAGAGCGATCGGGGGATCGAACGAAATTCCGCCGACTTTCGCGTGGGCCGATGACACGGGGAACTTGCTTTGTTTTGCTCGCTAAACAGGACGAACGACAAGGGAACCGAATTATTAATCGTTCTTATTGCGGCTCTGTCCCCGCATTTCCTCTTCGTGCGTGATATTGTATTGTTGCAATTCCTTTTCCTTCACGACGTTGACTGACGTTAAGTATTTTCTCCTTTCATAGATCACTCTTTCTTACACCTACCGTTGCCGCGTTTCTCTTGGTTAATTCATAGTTTGATGAATATTAAGTCCGTTTTCTTTTTAATCTTTCACCTTGCGAACACACATTTCTCATATATAAAATATGCTTTCTCTACGTACAATGTGCTCTCTGCGTCTGGAAACGTTCTATTTTGTAGTCAATAAATACGTTTAGAAATTCGTGCAAGTTGATAAATTGTGTATTATATTGTATAATCGTGCGTTGTCGATAAAGTTTTTGAGCGTTTTGAATTGTTTATATAAAATAGAACGTTTCTAGATGCAGGAAGCACATTGTAGATTAGGTTTAAAGTAGCGTCATGTTAAAATAAGACTAAATAAAGAGAAGCTTGTCTAATTTCTTATAATTTCTCGGCAATTGGAAGTGTAACAAAAATGTGCGCACAAACATTTATATTTATATACTACCATTTTATCTACGAACTTGTTTTGCGCTTTGGGGTCAGATTGAAAGACAAACTCAAATTTATGTCCTCTGTGTACACGCAGCCTCAGAGATAACCAAGACTTTCGTTTTATTCTATACTTGTCAGACGCTATAAGTCTATCCTTTGTACCACGTTACACTTCCTTGTACTTAAAATGGAATACAAGTATATAATTAGACGATACGGGGGGGAAAACACAGAGCAGAGGCGCAAAAAGTTCAGCTATAAAGGGTGAACCTTGGCGTCGCGCGAACTTGACAAACGAAAAAGTGGGGTATCATCTTGCACAGTACTCTTTTGGAAAAGCTGCACCGCACTTGTCGAGAAACTAAGATCATTTTCGTGCGCCCGCAACCGTCGCCGGTTGCCCAAATTCGCCGGGATCGCGCCGGTCCTTATTTACCGGCGTGAATGTCTCGCTCGGAGCGCGCCGGGCGCGAAATAAAAATCGATCGGGGCTTTCTTTCGAATTTCGTTTGGGCGTTTCCCCGAAACGTATGTATCGCGGAATTAGAGGATGTTCATTTTTCGAATGTAGGTTGTGTGCACGTGTGTTCCATGACGTATGCATATTGATCGGTTTGTAGAGCGGCCGGAGGCATCGGTGGAATCAATGGCAATTGTATATACTTGCCTAGGCACGCACGTGTGTGCCCCACACACACACACACACACACACAAGCGCGCGCGCGTAAAAGCGTTTGGTAAAGGATATTTTTTA